AGCCCACTCACTTACCCATTAGCCCACTCACTTACCCATTAGCCCACTCACTTACCCATTAGCCCATTCACTTACCCATTTGTCCACATAGCCCACTCACCCATTAGCCCACTTACCCATTTTCCCACTCACTTACCCATTAGCCCACTCACTTACCTATTAGCCCACTTACCCATTAGCCCACTCACATACCCATTTTCCCACATAGCCCACTCACTTACCCATTAGCCCACTCACTAGCCCACTCACTTACCCATTAGCCCACTCACTTACCCATTTGCCCACTCACTTACCCATTTGCCCATTCACTTCCCACTCAACTTACCCATTAGCCCACTCACTTACCCATTTGTCCACTTACTGACCCATTAGCCAACCCACTTACCCATTTGTCCACATTGCCCTCTCACTTACCCATTAGTCCCACTCACTTACCGATCTTCTCACTCACTTACCCATTAGCCCACTCACTTACCTATTAGCCCACTCACCCATTTTCCCACTTACTTACCCATTAGCCCACTCACTTACCCATTAGTCCACTCACTTAACTATTTGCCCACTCATTTACATATCAACACACACACTAACTCAACCACTCACTCACTCACCCAATCACTTACCCATCAACCCATCCACTCACCCAACCAACCCACAAGACCCACTCACTCATTCATTCAACCAACCCTCTCACTCACTCATCAACCCATCCACTCACTCATTCACTTATCCCTCAACCAATACATCCACCCACAGACTCACCCACTCAACCCCTTCCCATCCACCCACCCACTCACTCACCGTCCCAGTCAACCCACTCAACCACCCACCCACTCACTCACTCCACTTTAAGTCAGGTGGAATAAGATCCATTTGGATAAAGACGCTAACTGGAATCGCCACAGCCAATCAAAGGGAGATAACTATAAACAAACCATAAACCTGCCATTCATCACCGAGCCATTCTTTTATTGTCAGACAAACCCCTTGCATGGACAATCTCACTCTAATGGACCTCTCAATAACATCATGATCTCCACTTCTGACTTTATTTTTCAAATGTAATAAAATGATTTCAATGCATCCTAACCGAACTTGAAGTTGCTTTTGACAGTGAATGTTCCCAAAGAAGTGTTTAGTTAAATTCATTTTGAAGTATCACATAGCAATTAATGCCTGCTTAATGCCATCACGCTGAGCCTTTGATAAGAACATTACTGTCATATATCGCAAGGAATATTCAATTTCACACTGTTTAATCACAACTTCTGATCACAAAGTTTTTGCTATTTGAAGTCCATAATTTTTCTTCAAGAGAGACAATGCCGTAATCAATAAACTTCAAACAAATGGCCTTAAGAAGATGTACTTAAAGTGAGTGAGTAGCTTTTAGAAAAGCAATCCTCCCACGTCAACCACAAGTCGTTTGTTTGTCCGTGATACCTGCACTCACACTCTACAATCGCACCAGTTCATATTTATCACCTAAATTTATTATCTTGATTTTTTTTCTTGGTTCAAAATATCAATTCAAATCTGATCCAAATCTCCAATGCCAGTTCTCAAATAAAACTGTTATTTAGTTTAATGATAAATATTGTATTGAGAATGAAACTTCCAAATTGTCATACTTATATACTGCTCAAAAGAATATAAAGATCACTTTTTGTTTGTTGCTTAACGTCGCACTCATCAGTATTTCAGCTATATGGTGGCAGTAAATAATCAAATCTGGACCAGACAATCAACAGTATGAGCATCATACACAAGTAGGAAATGATGACTTGTTTCAACCAAGTCAGTTAGCCTGACCACCCACAATCTAACGACAAGCATGGGTTGCTGAAGACCAATTCTAACCTGGATCTGCACGAGTTATAGATCTCTCTTTCTATCATTAGTTAATCTATCATGATGGGTACTGAAACAGACAGCCTTGAAATCGTGAGTATTCTTTTACTTGTTTTGAGTAGCATACCGTATATTACTGTAAATAAGCCATTCATCATTGATAAGCAGACCCCCTAATTTGACCCTTAAAATCAGTATCAAAATGGTATGTTTTGTACATAAGCCGATACCCCTGATGGGTCCTTATCGCGGCAAACTCAGACCACAAGACAACTGGCAGTTACCGATAATTATTCACAGCAATCACAATCATATTGCTTCTACTCATGCCTCAAAATGAAGTGTAGTTGGCAGAAAATGGATACGTATATATTTTGTTTCGCTAAAAGTCCTATTTATTGTAGATGGATGATCCAGCGTTTAAAATTCCCTCCTGCCGGACTGTCCGGAATGGTCTATTTTCATCTTGGACGGTCAAATTTCAAAAGTAGCCTGTCCGGTGGTCTGGTAGATATTTTTACCCCTAAGAGTAAATATTTCATAATATCAGACAGGTTCTCTTGTCGTCAGTTTGAGGTGTTTAAGGTATTATGAAAATTATGTTAAACTATTTACGATCAGACAGTTCATGTTACGATAACCAATCACATGTACTTTCAGTTTACCTAAACACGGAGCATTGCCTGTTAGTGCTATGTAGTTGTAGTGCGATGCCTACAAACAGTGAATGGAGCTTGTCACAGTTGGAAATGGTAGTCACAGTTTTTTATTGTTGAAAACCGGGCAGGCAAGTTTGTATCCGGACTGGTAATTTTTTAAAGTTACCAGTCCGGTTGTCTGGCTTGGAATTTTGGGAGTTTTAAACACTGGATGATCACATGTCAACACACTGTTTTCCCGGTGGAAATAGCGAGATCGTGCAAAACCACATCAGTGACTGGTCAAATAGTTCCATTCACAGAAACTATCCTGCACTACACCAAAGTGCTGCTGCATTGCCTTAGTGATGATTATACATATTTTACATTCATGGAGCAAAATCTGTAATTACAATTACACAGTGCTAGAACATATTTCTCTTGGTAAAATAATAGTTTTACTAGATATTATATTATACCGATCACTGCGTCAGAATTCATCCAGTTATATTATTGGGTATGTTTTAACATGTTTTCACTGGTAGATCGTCAGGAAACATGTGCACAGCTGATTGCTATTTCCAGCTCTGTATACGAGACAAATACACATGGTAATCTTAATTCCTGCATATAATACAATGCCTAGCAAAAACAAATTAGAACTGAAAAGGTAAATAATCTTGTCTAGTGATGTTTAACTGCAAATTTGACATCTTCACTGACAAAGTCGTTTTCTCTTGTTCGTTCAATGTTGTTTTCTTACTGGTCACAACAAATATAGTTTGATGAAAGTGTTACCAGTAGACAAGCTGACACCTATCTACAGGCTGCTTTTTTTGGTCTTCAAAGTTCAGCTTATCTACGGTAATATCTGCTCAGAAAAACACATAAACTGTACACTGTAATGTAGGTGAAGCCTTGTCAGCTTATTGAAGGGGTTAACAAGTTTGTTCATGTGGTCAGATCAGAAGGTCCATGGTTAGAATTTCTTCGCGAGACTTTTATCACCTTTTATGACCACTGTGTAGGCACACATTACACCTGACACCATTTGACCTTGGTGGGGATTAGGGGCAGAACAGGGCTCAAGCATGTGGTCGAGGTTTGTGATTGGGTCACACAGTCAAGACATGACACTACATCATGGCTGAAAACTTCATAAATCCTATCCATATTATGATGGCCTATTATAGTCCATATTTTTCTGCCCTGTGAAGGTCCGGGTTAGAATATTGATCTTCAGTAACCCATGCTTGTTGTAAGAGGTGACTAACGGGATCGGGTGGTCAGGCTTGCTGACTTGGTTGACACATGTCATCAGTTCCCAATAGCGCAGATCGATGCTCATGTTGTTGATCACTGGATTGTCGGGTCCAGACTCGATTATTTACAGACCGCCGCCATATAGCTGGAATATTGCTGAGCGTGGGGTAAAACTAAACTCACTCCACCCCATATTTTTCTGGAGATTTAAAAAACATGTTGTGGACTGAACAGTGGATATTAAAATACTCTTTCCCTATTATAACACAGGCATGCTATAACTAGAACTCTGCATGTTCTCGGATGCAACGTTTTGTCATGACTTGACTGTCAGATCCCATCACTTCCCTCGGCAAGCCAGTGTCAAAATGTTGATATGGTGGACAGTATGTGATCTTGCCGACAACCAGACAATTGGTCATGATGTCAGTCACTAATGCATGATTGGAAGACTCTAGTCTCAGGCTGCCGTGATATCAAAAGAACTTCAGTTGACAGAACAAGACATGTAACCAGGCCATCTGTTACATTCTTAAATTCTAAGCAACATGTCATCTGTGGCCAGTTTGATCCTGGATAGTGTTGGGAATCGGAAACCAAATCCACTATTGATTATCGGAGAACTTGTGGTGAACGATTATCGATTAAAATCGAAATATATACATTTTTAATGTAATCACCAATTTTAAGGGGTTTTCCCCAGTTTTTTCCAATTAATGTTTTTATAACTAATACTGTAATGCAGTGAAAGACACTGGAATAGTGATTAAACAATAAAAGTGTTTAAATTTTACAATGCTTACTGTCATCTTCTCATTACTTGATTATTCTATTCTATATCATTAAATATATATACCATCATTCAATTATCCTGAATATTCATCAAATTTAATGCTTAGTTTCCTTCATTCAAGTGTGTTATACTAAAACAAAATTCCGATTAATCAGAAAATATGTTTTACAATCGATAATTATCCTTAATCATTATTTCGACTGATTTTCGATTATTTTCGATCATCAGAACACCACTAACCCTGGAATTTAAAGTTTTGAAAATGTATGTGTAGGCCTTGGATGAAACAAGTGCCGAGGGTCCACTTGCATAAAACCATCTTAGAACTTACTATTATAAGCAAGTCAATGTTTTAAGTATAGGGGTAATGATTGCTATAGCACTAACGTTGCTTCGTGCAAGTGGCATCTGGATCATACAACACCTGGATCATACAACAGATGTTCTTTTCTCACCTTATGAGGATCCATAACAACAGAGTGGAATGTATTAGACGAGACTTCGACAACGCACACACTGGTCTCAGTTTTATCACAGGTGGAGGGGGCGTAGGTCAGTGACCGGAGACTCCGGCTAGCATGACCACGGGTGAAATTCAGGATAAAGGAGGCTGCAACACAAACACATTGATTGGCAATTAGACGTGCTACACATAAAGGCAAACATTTTAGATAATATACCTACCTAGCACTTGGAACTTACTGATTTAATTATCAGTGCTGGCTTCCATGTCATCGCCCTTATCACCTACCTAATATAATTTTAAAATTAACAATCTGTTTCCACTTCATTTTTATTTCACCTAAAGTCCACTTTCGTAATTTTAAATTCCTAACTTTTGTATCAACCCCACATGGCACAGAAATTAAACAGCAGCTGAACCACATAAACTTGTCTGTCATTTATTGACCATTGTATGATGTAATAGACATCATACCAAGGACTTTACCAAGGATGGGGGTGGGGGGGGCTTAGTCTTTGTTTCAACCCATTTATGGCCAAACAATTTCATTTTGATTCCACACACATTGTGTTCTGAACACCCTGCATGTTCAGTGAACATTCTTTGGGCACTCAAACCTAAGCACAATATATACCCCCGTTACTTCGTAGCAGGGGTATAAAAATATCAAATTGTCAACATGAGAAAGGCCTGTATTCCATTACGTGGCACATATCCTTATGCTATGCTACTACCTTGCTGAGGCACCTATGCTTAACCATAAAATGAGAAAGTCAAGTTCAAAGATGTGATCATACTTTGTTTGTTATATAGTGCCACACTTAGCAATATTCCACATATATGACTTTATCCCTTAAATAATAGAGTCTGGACAATCCAGTGATTGATATCATGAGCATTGACCTACATAACTAGGATACTATGATATTCATCAACCAAGTCACTCAGCCTGACAACCCGATCCAATGGGCCACCTTTTATAGCAAGCATGGGTCTCATAACATGAAAATTGCACACAATGGGGATTATGAAAAGCTTGTAAAACAGTTTTGTTATGGCTAATATATGAACATTAATGGAGGGGACTTTCTCATATTTAAGAACTTTAATGAAACAATTATTTTCATCAATAGGTCAATAACTTCACAGGTGATTCTAGTTAAGATATAATTTGAAATTCATCAAATAAACTGGTATAAAACATTTCCTATAACCTTTGGGAAAATACTCGGGGCAAATCTAATTCTTTGACATCCTTAAATGTCCAATAAATAGAGAATCAGAGAATAACCCTTTTTAATAAAATTATTCTTCCACCATAGTATGCAATATTCATTCTTACTTTGTTTACAATAAAAGCGTAGAAAATATTTTAAACATTCACAATACATATTTACTTAAAACATATGGTTACTGACTATAAATACATGTTACCAAACGGAATAATACAGATTAGCAAACCCTAAAGATAAAGTCCAATTCCAAATTGTTAGTCATGCACAATTACATCTGTCCAGACCCGTGAAGATCCGGGTTAGAATTGATCTTCAGTAACCCATGATTGTCATAAGAGGCGACTAATGGGATCGGGTAGTCAGACTCGCTGACTTGGTTGACACATGTCATCATATCCCAATTGCGTAGATCGATGCTCATGCTGTTGATCACTGGATTGTCTGGTCCAAACTTAATTATTTACAGATCGCTGCCACACAACTGGAATATTGCTGAGTGCAGCGTAAAACTAAACTTACTCACTCACTGACATCCTTCCAATACATGCAACTATGAAAGTGATTGAGTTTAGTTATACGTCGCACTCAGCAATATTCCAGCTATATGAGAGTGGCCTGTAAATAATTGAGTCTGGACCAGACAATCCAGGAACAATGAAAAAAATTATCAGTGGTATTGGAGCATGCTGGCAGGACCTGGGAGGTGGTCGGACAGTGTGAGTGAGTGAATGTCCAACGTTGTTGTACACTGTTGTATGATCAGAGCTAGAAGGAATGATGCATACTGTTATGGAGATATAACTTACAAAATCATACATTGGTCAAAACTCTCTTGGATTTAGAGCAGTGACAATAGGTCCCTGCATACCATTTATTATTATTTCCATTTTGGTAATCCATTTTGTGCAGTCATTTATTGAAATTAAGAAATAAAAAGGCCAAATATTGTCTTGATATCAAATAATAAACTGTCCCAGATCATAGCCTCAAAAAACACACTTCAACTGGGCAGGCTTGGCTTGAAGGGAAATAACTCCTGTCAAAAGTCTGACAAAGCTCAATTCCTTAGAGCTTACTTTCAGGCTATGGTTGAAGGGAAGTAACTCATGATGACACTTCACGACAAGGCTCTGTTAACTTTATAAAATAACATGACTGAGAAGAATGTATTTGACAACAACTCACCAACATTTTTGGCTGTAAAATTTTCTTTGAGCAAGTACTGTTCTTCATTCTACAAGTAAAACATTGACAAACATTGCTTCAAACACATTTCACATTCTATTCTCTATATAATTGCACTTAAATAAAATCATTATATTTGCTGAAATGTTTTTTTTCCTTGCTCACTTTCAATCAAATTTATGCATCTTAACTTCTGAACATTTGCCTTTACGCCATTACAACCTGGAAACTGATTAGAACGCCTTAGCAGTAATGGCCAAGATGCAGAAAACTGTAAAATATCCTTAGATACAGACTCCACAACTGACCAATTGACTGGACTGATTATCTGATGAAAAACTCCAAAAAAAATTGCATCATATTCTACACATGGATTATCTAAGATTCAGAACTGAGAACCTTCATCAGGCAATTTTGAAGAAAAGGGTTATTTTCCTCAATATTGGGATTTTTGCCAAATTCTTATTTCTGTTGAAAATCCTCATTTGCTAAAGCATTGTTATCATGTCACATTATTGTTGCAGTTGATTCGGAACCAGGAATTCACCGGCATGCTTAACATACATTTGTGCAGTAAACTTTATGCAAACACAGGCCATTATGCAAAATCACTGAGAAACTATAACATTAACACGGTTCAAGTCAGAGAAATAACGTCAATCTGATGATTCTGGAAGTAGATAGGGCTTGTTGATTCTAACACCAAAGTTAACAGATTCTCACGACTTGTCCAGCACAAAATATTCTCAGTTTCATACTTACTTCCTTATCAAAAATAACCACAGCTGGATTCTGCGGCAACGTCGACACATCCACACCGAGCCTCTCAGCAAACACAGAATGCCGCACAGCATCCATTGCATAGAAGTTGACTGTCCGGTTACTACGACAACCCAAACCCGTAAAATTCACTGGAAGGGATTCTTCAAAATTATAACTATTTTCATAAGGCACGTGGCCCTGTAGTTTCTGCAAAGTCAACTTTTTACACAACCGTTTTGGTTTATCTTCAATTTCTTGCCACATATACCTATCAGTCACTCTTCGCTTCCCCAATCTGAAAGACATGGGTAAAAAGTCTGACTGGGAGACAGGCACTATGGAAGCAGCAGCATCTTGACACCACTGACAACACAGACTATGGTATTCATTAACATTATAGTTGTCTATAGAGTTCCTACAGAAGTTGGTCTGCGCCATAGTCCACTCCTCTAACTGAGGGTCAATATCTATGCTGGAACACCCCGGTCCCATCTGTGTCGGCCTGTGGATGCAGTACTCGCAGACATTCTGGGCCTGGTTGGGCGTCTCCGCTAGGGTTTTGGAAGCAAGGGAAACACAGCATTTGAAGTCGTAGAGTCCTACGTTGCGTTGTTTGCGGTAGTTTGCACAGAACTCGACGACCTGGTGGTACTCGACCTGGGCTGACCTGACCTGACTTCTCCAGTGTGAGATGGCGTCCTCCAGGTTGTGGATCTCCTCACAGTTGTGGTACTGCAGGGCCAGGTCCTTCATCTGGAACCAAATCCACAGATACATGTTTCCTCACAACTAGTTACACACAACTCTCATTACTTGGGTCAGTATCTTAATTGTCTGTCTGTCTGTCCACCCATCCGTCCATCTGTCTGTCACAAATAACAGAGTCTGGACCAGACAATCCAGTGATTCACATTAGCATCGATCTGGGCAATTTGGATACATGTATGTAGCTGAAACGATATTTTACTTCAAAGTTTTTTATAGCACCAAATCATGCTAGTAGTCAGATGAACAAAGTTTTGATGTCATTCAAACTAACAGACAAGTTTCATATTTCTAAAGTTCTAGACCATATAGCTCTGTTCATGAATTATGCAAAACCAGAGAGCCAAATATTGTCCACATAATACACAGCATTTCTACTGTATTTCAACCAATGTCTGTCCACAACCTATGTACCTGTTGCTTCAGGGTTATGTATGGCCGGTAAGTGCAATCAGCCATTCTCTCGGTATCATCTGAGTTATTATACAAGTTGTGTATCATTCCAAGTGAGCTGTGGTTGATGCTGCTTCCAATTAAAACATGTTGGCTAGGTGGAACAGGAATGCCCAAAGTAACGCACTCTGGTGAAAACAATATGCTTATCTATGTATCCTTAATTTCAAACAATTATATTCTCATGGTGAAAAGGGTTGGGCACAGTTATCACAACTAACAAAGCTCTTTCCCATAGATTTACATGTATGCTTATTTACCACTGAGGAGTGGTGGGCTTGCCTAGTGGTTAAAGAGTTTGCTTGTCATGTTGAAGACCCATTTTGATTCCCCACATGGGCACAATGTGTGAAGTCATTTCTGGTGTCCCCTGCCGTGATATTGTTGGCATATTACTAAAAGCGTCATAAAACTAAACTCACTCACTCTCACTCACTATTTACCACTTGCACATTAAATGATCGTCAGAAAATATTGATTGAATGATTGAATGAATGAATGAATGAATGAATGAATGAATGAATGAATGAATGAATGAATGAATGAATGAATGAATGAATGAATGAATGAATGAATGAATGAATGAATGATTGATTGATTGATTGATTGATTGATTGATTGATGTTTAAAGCTGCCTCAGCAATATTCCCAGCTATATGGTGGCGGTATGTAAATAATCAAGTCAGGACCAGACAATCCAGTGATCAACAGCAAGATCATCAATCTACGCATTGGGATACAATGACATGTGTCAACCAAGTCAGCGAGCCTGATCACCCAATCGGTTAGTCACTTCTCACAACAAGCATGACCAATTCTAACCCGGATCTTCATTGGTACCAGAAAAGAGAAATATAGAAATGTATGAACATTAACACCACTCACTTGAACCTTTCTTGTTTTCTTTACATGCCTGGCACAAAACACACAATAACCTCAATAGTGAGTGAGTAAGGTTTTATCCTGTTTTTCCCAACATTAAAGTAATAAAATGGCACAGGACACCAGAAATCAGTTTCACACATTGCATCCATCAGGGTAATCAAAACGAGGTCTTTGGCATTATAAACAATTCAACCACAAGGCTACCCAGCTGTCCCACAACCAGCACAAGTTTACAAAGGAATCACAACAGTATCAACATTACTAATTTACTTACCACATGATATGGTTGGTTGGTGTCAAACAACGGGTTGAGGGCATAGAAGGCAATGACAGCTGGTCCCTGAGCCATCTCCCTCGACAATATCAAACTCTTCACTCCCAAAGGTGCTATAGACCCTTACCATAGGCTGAAAACAAATCAATTATATATTTGTTTTGTTATTATTCCCATGTCAGGATATGTCAGGTTTGTCTATTTGTATACCTTAGTTACATGAAAGAGGCTTGTAAATAATCAGGACCAGACAATCCAGCAATCAATATTTTGAGCAACGATCCGCATCGTCACAAAGACTGCAATCAACCAAGATACCAAGCAGACCACTTGATCCGTTGTGCTGCCTTGTATGACAAGTACAGCTTTCTAGAGAGAAATTCTATCCCAGCAGCCTTCTGAGGTGAGGTGAAATTGGGTTTAATGTCGTGCTTGAGAATATTTCGCTCATATGACGACGTGCATGCGTGTGTATGTGTATGTGCAGCTGCTTGTATTAGCCCAGACTGAAGCTGGTTTTAGTGCTAGCCCACTGAGATACCATGCCGCAGTGAAGCATGAATACCCCACTCAGAAACATTATACTGACTCCGAGCCGACCAGTCCTTGTTGTACCCATTAATGCCGAGCGCCAGGCAGGGACCAACAAGAACCATATTTTAACGTCTTTTGGTATGACGCTCTAACCACTACACCACGGAGGCGGTACAAGGACACTCAACCAACTCACACAGACCCACAACCCACCTTGTAAGGAGAATCACAGTTTCCTGGCATTCCACCCAGAATCCATACATAGATGTTACAATTAATATATTTAACATAAAAATAATTTGCAACATTCCAGCAATATCACAGTGGGTCTTTGTCTTCACTATAGAAGTAAAACTAGTCTACATTTGAAGTAGCTCCTGCTCAAAGCACACAAACATAATCTGATTATTATTACCCCGGATAACCCAAGCTGCCTGTGAGGCGCTAGAACGTTAATAGTCACATGACTTATCCCACCGTGTACCCATTTTCTGCTGGGTTAACAGAGGCAATTTTTAACAAACTCACTTGCCTAAGGTGAAACCATGTGTATCACATGTGCTTCATTGTGGGGCAGGACTGAAGTCCTAGAAACTTATACTAACTGAACATTGAATATAATTCTTGCACATACTCATGGCTTCTACATGCATAGAAAAAATACACAATCTCCATCATCCTATCTTTCCTAAAATTAGTAATAGAAATATCATCTCCTTGCTCACAGGTTACATTGGATGATAATCTAAAATTCAACACAATGGGATCAAACCGTCATAAGGAGTTTGCAGGAACATACTTTTTGTCGATGTTGAAGACTCCAGGTCACAAGCTGAGAGCTGGTCAAGTTAAAGTCTCGAGGATATTTCTGAAAATGAAATATTTCTGTATAAATTGTTTTGTGTGCATCAGGCAATCCAGTGATCAACAGCATGAGCATCGATCTACCCAATTGGGATGCAGTGACATGTGCCAGCTAAGACAGAGAGCCTGACCACCTGATACTATTAGTTGCCTCTTACGACAAGCATGGGTTACTGAAGATCAATTCTAACATGGATCTTCATGGTTCTAACACAAGTGAGAAAGAACAGAGTGTTATTTAAGTTGTTTTGAGTTGTATATATGATACTGACTTGTTCGTGTCAGATATCATGCATGTAGCAGTTCTCACCAGGGTGGAGTTGGCTACACGCAGCAATGCAACATCGTTACTTTGTGTCAAGTTGTACGACTCCGCCAGAGACTTCCTCGGAAAGATGCAGAACTTGACCTGGTTGTACGGATCTAACAACAGAAATATACAGTCCTGAACACAAAGGCATTGTTACAGCCAGAGTGAGGTTATACCATATCATTGATCATTGGAGAGTGTGTGGCCAGCATCACTGAACTTGTCACCATGCCATACAGGGGTGGAAATAACCCATTGCCCGATGCCTGAGTCCAGTGTTTTATTCTGTCGGGCAAGCAAATTTGTATATCACACTGTACCGGTGTCAAGTTGATATTCCAATGTTAATTATGTTGTTTATTTAAAAAATCAACAAGAAAACGGCCGGTATAGCGGAAAAATGATCAGGGCAAGTGATTTTACATGTGCCACTGTACCAGAGTACACTAGCAATTTTAAAGTTATTTCCACCCCTGCCATAGTTGCAGTGTGTAAAATGGACGTCTGCCCACAAGCTCTCAGCAACTAAACTTTCTGTCAGACTCGGTTCAAAATTTAGAAGTCAGTTCAAAATTGTTAGAGGTGGCTACCAGTCCTGGAAGAGTAAAAATATCAGTCAGTAAAACACTGAGTACTATGAGCCTCAAAGAAGGCAAAGGCTATCAGCCAGTAAAACACTGTGTACTATGAGGCTATCTATGAGCCTCAAAGGAAGGTCAAGGCTATCGGCCAGTAAAACACTGTGTACTATGAGGCTATCAGCCAGTAAAACACTGTGTACTATGAGGCTATCAGCCAGTAAAACACTGTGTACTATGAGCCAAGAGGCAAAAGCTATCAGCCAGTAAAACACTGTGTACTATGAGCCTCAAAGAAGGCAAAGGCTATCAGCCAGTAAAACACTGTGTACTATGAGGCTATCAAACAAACACTGTGTACTATGAGGCTCATGGAAGGTCAAGCCTATCGGCCAGAAAACACTGTGTACTATGAGGCTATCAGCCAGTAAAACACTGTGTACTATGAGGCTATCAGCCAGTAAAACACTGTGTACTATGAGCCTCAAAGAAGGCAAAGGCTATCAGCCAGTAAAACACTGAGTACTATGAGGCTATCAGCCAGTAAAACACTGTGTACTATGAGCCTCAAGGAAGGTCAAGGCTATCGGCCAGAAAAACACTGTGTACTATGAGGCTATCAGCCAGTAAAACACTGTGTACTATGAGGCTATCAGCCAGTAAAACACTGTGTACTATGAGCCTCAAAGAAGGCAAAGGCTATCAGCCAGTAAAACACTGTGTACTATGAGGCTATCAGCCAGTAAAACACTGTGTACTATGAGCCTCAAAGAAGGCAAAGGCTATCAGTCAGTAAAACACTGTGTACTATGAGGCTATCGGCCAGTAAAACACTGTGTACTATGAGCCTCAAAGAAGGCAAAGGCTATCAGCCAGTAAAACACTGAGTACTATGAGGCTATCAGCCAGTAAAACACTGTGTACTATGAGCCTCAAGGAAGGTCAAGGCTATCGGCCAGAAAAACACTGTGTACTATGAGGCTATCAGCCAGTAAAACACTGTGTACTATGAGGCTATCAGCCAGTAAAACACTGTGTACTATGAGCCTCAAAGAAGGCAAAGGCTATCAGCCAGTAAAACACTGTGTACTATGAGGCTATCAGCCAGTAAAACACTGTGTACTATGAGCCTCAAAGAAGGCAAAGGCTATCAGCCAGTAAAACACTGTGTACTATGAGGATATTGGCCAGTAAAACACTGTGTACTATGAGCCTCAAAGAAGGCAAAGGCTATCAGCCAGTAAAACACTGTGTACTATGAGGCTATCAGCCAGTAAAACACTGTGTACTATGAGCCTCAAAGAAGGCAAAGGCTATCAGCCAGTAAAACACTGTGTACTATGAGGCTATCAGCCAGTAAAACACTGTGTACTATGAGCCTCAAGGAAGGTCAAGGCTATCGGCCAGAAAAACACTGTGTACTATGAGGCTATCAGCCAGTAAAACACTGTGTACTATGAGCCTCAAGGAAGGTCAAGGCTATCGGCCAGAAAAACACTGTGTACTATGAGGCTATCAGCCAGTAAAACACTGTGTACTATGAGGCTATCGGCCAGTAAAACACTGTGTACTATGAGCCTCAAAGAAGGCAAAGGCTATCAGCCAGTAAAACACTCTGTACTATGAGGCTATCAGCCAGTAAAACACTGTGTACTATGAGCCTCAAAGAAGGCAAAGGCTATCAGCCAGTAAAACACTGTGTACTATGAGGCTATCGGCCAGTAAAACACTGTGTACTATGAGCCTCAAAGAAGGCAAAGGCTATCAGCCAGTAAAACACTGTGTACTATGAGGCTATCAGCCAGTAAAACACGGTGTACTATGAGCCTCAAGGAAGGTCAAGGCTATCGGCCAGAAAAACACTGTGTACTATGAGGCTATCAGCCAGTAAAACACTGTGTACTATGAGCCTCAAAGAAGGCAAAGGCTATCAGGCAGTAAAACACTGTGTACTATGAGGCTATCAGCCAGTAAAACACTGTGTACTATGAGCCTCAAGGAAGGTCAAGGCTATCGGCCAGAAAAACACTGTGTACTATGAGGCTATCAGCCAGTAAAACACTGTGTACTAGGAGCCTCAAGGAAGGTCAAGGCTATCGGCCAGAAAAAGCTGTGTACTATGAGGCTATCAGTCAGTAAAACACTGTGTACTATGAGGCTATCAGCCAGTAAAACACTGTGTAGTATGAGCCTCAAAGAAGGCAAAGGCTATCAGCCAGTAAAACACTGTGTACTATGAGGCTATCAGCCAGTAAAACACTGTGTACTATGAGCCTCAAAGAAGGCAAAGGCTATCAGCCAGTAAAACACTGTGTACTATGAGGCTATCGGCCAGTAAAACACTGTGTACTATGAGCCTCAAAGAAGGCAAAGGCTATCAGCCAGTAAAACACTGTGTACTATGAGGCTATCAGCCAGTAAAACACTGTGTACTATGAGCCTCAAGGAAGGTCAAGGCTATCGGCCAGAAAAACACTGTGTACTATGAGGCTATCAGCCAGTAAAACACTGTGTACTATGAGGCTATCAGCCAGTAAAACACTGTGTACTATGAGGCTATCAGCCAGTAAAACACTGTGTACTATGAGGCTATCAGTCAGTAAAACACTGTGTACTATGAGGCTATCAGCCAGTAAAACACTGTGTACTATGAGACTATCAGTCAGTAAAGCACTGTGTACTATGAGCCTCAAAGAAGGCAAAGGCTATCAGCCAGTAAAACACTGTGTACTATGAGGCTATCGGCCAGTAAAACACTGTGTACTATGAGCCTCAAGGAAGGTCAAGGCTTCAGCTAGTAAAACACTGTGTACTATGAGGCTATCGGCCAGTAAAACACTGTGTACTATGAGCCTCAAGGAAGGTCAAGGCTATCGGCCAGTAAAACACTGTGTACTATGAGGCTATCAGCCAGTAAAACACTGTGTACTATGAGGCTATCAGTCAGTAAAGCACTGTGTACTATGAGCCTCAAAGAAGGCAAAGGCTATCAGTCAGTAAAACACTGTGTACTATGAGGCTATCGGCCAGTAAAACACTGTGTACTATGAGCCTCAAGGAAGGTCAAGGCTATCGGCCAGTAAAACACTGTGTACTATGAGGCTATCGGCCAGTAAAACACTGTGTACTATGAGGCTATCGGCCAGTAAAACACTGTGTACTATGAGGCTATCAGCCAGTAAAACACTGTGTACTATGAGCCTCAAGGAAGGTCAAGGCTATCGGCCAGAAAAACACTGTGTACTATGAGGCTATCGGCAAGTAAAACACTGTGTACTATGAGGCTATCAGCCAGTAAAACACTGTGTACTATGAGCCTCTAGGAAGGTCAAGGCTATCAGCCAGTAAAACACTGTGTACTATGAGGCTATCGGCCAGTAAAACACTGTGTACTATGATTCTCAAGGAAGGTCAAGGTTATCGGCTAGTAAAACACTGAGTACTATGAGGCTATCGGCCAGTAAAACACTGTGTACTATGCGCCTCAAAGAAGGCAAAGGCTATCAGTCAGTAAAGCACTGTGTACTATGAGCCTCAAGGAAGGTCAAGGCTATCAGCCAGTAAAACACTGTGTACTATGAGGCTATCGGCCAGTAAAACACTGTGTACTATGAGCCTCAAAGAAGGTCAAGGCTATCGGCCAGTAAAACACTGTGTACTATGAGGCTATCGGCAAGTAAAACACGTGTACTATGAGCCTCAAAGAAGGCCAAGGCTATCAGTCAGTAAATCACTGATTAAATCATTGTGTATTTTCAACTCCAGCCACTAGGAAGGCCCACCCTGTTCCAGCATCCTCATGGAAGCAAAATAGAACTGTTGGTAGCCCGGGGGTTGTGGGGACGCGTTGAGGTCAAAGTAGCCCACCACAGCACCCTGAAACAAGAAACAAGTCAGTATTTGTGACAAATTGTTAGATAAAACATAAAACTGATGACCAAATTTCAATAAAGTGGATTTTCATATGAAGAGAGTAACTACTTCAGAATTCAGCTCAGAATGGGTCCAATGCTGGTCACCAGGTGGGAATACAGGGCCAGAATAAACCCTCACAACATCATGCTTCTCAACATTCTGGAGATTCTGGCTCTGATACAAGTTCCCAATACCTCAAACCTTTCCAATCATGTATCTCAATATATGCATCTGCTGGTAAGGATCTCTGACCTTGATAATGATGTATCATAGTGACTTGACTGCACTGCTTTTGCTGTCACTAGTGTCAGTGACCTATCTCTGAGGTCCAGATGCAATTAGTGAGTGAGTTTTACGCCGCTTTTAACAATATGACAGTAGGGTAGACCAGAAATTCGCTACACACATTGTACCCATGTGGGGAATCGAACCCTTTAACCACTTGGCTACCCCACTGCCCATTATCATAATGAACAATGCTGTATCATTAGGGTATGGTGACATGCAGTCAATGTGGCTGACCATTTCATAAATGAAATCACATCACGCAATATCTTGCATCGGTTCCAAGAGAACTATTCCAGAATCACCAAGCCCAATTGGTTCTGATCAATTTTATGAGTCAAAGGTTGGAACATCATGTCATGTTATTTAACTTACATCATGCTTGGCCACAAAGTCCTTGACCTGGTCATGAGAGTAGAAAGCTGTAATAGGATAGGTGATGTCTTCCACAAACGTCACCATGTGCTCGGCAGCCATCTCGCCTGAAACAGAGAAATAGACATCATAAACAAAAGCAAATCAAACAAGACATATTCCTATTATTAATACAAGACTTTAAGTAAGTTCAGGTTTCTAATGAGCAGTGTTTATCTTCCTCATAAGAATGCAGTTACACTTATACCAGTGTATGAAATCAGGCCCGTCCGACCGCCCAAGATGGTCTAGATTTCTGATGGACGGTCTAAATTTACAGCTAGCCAGCCTGATGGTCTGGTAAAAATTTTAGATGTTCCATACATCTGAGTAAAGTCACCATTTTGGTCTGGTTAAATCCATTTTGGGCTGGTAACATTTTGAAGTTAGTCAGTTGATTAAAACCATATTTTCTCAACACCTATTTGGTGAATTTTACATGAGGGAACATATTTTGCTGACTTCATGTAACAAATGTTTGGGTTAAGAAAATACTATTGTTGCTAGTAAGTGTGCCTTTAGGCAACAGGAAGATATTTATATGTGTCGGAACAACTACACAAAAACAGTATGTTTTCAAACCTAGGTATCTGAAGCCATCAAGATGTGTGTGATACACAAACAGCACAGGGAACATCAGGAACTTGTAACGTTTCCGACACTGCCCATCTGGCCACCAGCAATTCACAGCCACAAACTTCACCTGTAAAAAGACCAACACAATATTAGCAGAAGTACTACAACTTCCCAAACAAGTAGTATGGAGTATAGTGGGCGAGCTGGCTAAGGCGCCAGGCACGTGATCCAGTGAGGTTGAGGTGACGGGGTCGAGCCCACCTGTGACCGGGTGTAAAAACCGTGGAGTCAACTTTGTGTGTAGACTCTTTCAGTGTTGTCACAACCCCTAGTGTACAGTACACAACCCTGTGCACTTAAAAGAACCCATGAATCTGTTGGTATATGACCAGATGGTGGCCACATGAATACGTGCAAACACCTAGTTGCGGGTACAGCAACGTGCAGTGAACTTGGACAAAGCACTGTGACTATGTGTCCCAGTCCACACAGCTGTGAATGGGTACCTCATAAGGATGGGAGAGCCACACTAACTCGGTGCGCCTAGTGGATACAAGAGTTGTATGATCCACAGGGAGTTGAGATTGATAATACGACATAATTGACATCCAGTGATCGAGGGAAAAACAAAGCGCCTTTGAGCAGCTGAGCTGGATATTGGCTCAATACAAATGTTAGCATAATAATAATAATAACAAGAAGACAAAGTCATCAATATCCCCCGCAATGGCAAAATACTCTTCATGAATATGTCTACGAGTTATGATTATGTCAAATGTTTTGGTGTGTATATAGAAAAGTGGAAGGAGAGTATTGAAAGGTTTTAAAAGAAAGGAGCACTACCACCAGTTTCAGTCTAAGTCAAACTTGTTGGTATGGAAATGCAAAGATATTTTATTCAGAAATCCAAAACTACCAAAAGGCAACAGTACACCACCAGACCTATCTATGTGCCAAGTTTGGTGAAGAAATATTGAACGGTGTTGCGGGGGATAACAAAGAGGGCTGTCCTAAGAGTGAGTGAGTGCTATTGGCAATATTCCAGCAATATTACGGCAGGGGACACCCGAAATGGGCTTCACACATTGTACCCATGTGGGGAATCGAACCCAGGTCTTCGGCGTGACGAGCGAACGCCTTAGCCACTAGGCTACCCCACCGCCCCCTGTCCTAAGAGGTCATCATAGTTGAAGAACAGATTTTGTAATAGACCTAAGAGAAGTTGCGAACCTTATGTTTCCTTCACATCACTATGAAGCAGTGAGGTAGCCTTATGGTTAAATCACTGGCTCATCACGACAAGGTTCAATATTAACCACATTTGTACAATGTGTAGAGCCCATTGTGTCCCCACAACCCACCAACCCACACCCACATTTCTGGAACATTGTTACAATTAACACAAAACCATACTCACTCACTGACTGTGAAAGAATCAATCATGGTCCCTTCACATATTCTGTATTGTATCTCTTGAATGCAAGATGAACGTATTTTAAGACAGTTTTGGTTTGTTTGTTTGTTGTTTTAGGCTGCACTCAGCAATATTCAAGCTACATGGCGGCGGTCTGTAAATAATCGAGTCTGGACCAGACAATCCAGTGACCAACAGCATGAGCATCGAGCTACGCAATTGGGATACAATGACATGTCAACCAAGTCAGCGAGTCTGACCACCCAATTGTGTTAGTTGCCCTTTACGACAAGCATGGGTTACTGAAGATCAATTCTTACCTGGATCTTCACGGGTCGACACCATGAGCATGGATCTACTCAATTGTTATACGATGATTATCATGTGATCACTAGTATGGTAAGTTATTTTATCATGTTCATGATAAATACAGATGAACAGATTATGACAACAATGACACTATAATGATGGCCGATGCTGTTATTACTGAAAAGTCACATGATCATCCTTTCATGGCACAGTTGGAAAAGGGTATTGTCAAACCTGCATATTGAACACCTAATACACCATGCTTGTCGTAAGAGGCGACTAACACGATCGGGTGGTCAGGCTCGCTGACTTGGTTGACACGTATCATCATATCCCAACTGTGTAGATCGATGCTCATGCTGTTGCTCACTTGATTGTCTGGTCTCGATTTTTTGACTTGATTATTTACACACCACCGACATATGGCTGTAACACTGCTGAGTGCAGCGTAAAAATAAACTCACTCACCCAACCTAATATGCACCAAAATGATCACTGGATTGTAAATGTGTTTCAAGTTCTAAAACACCTTGAACAACTGAAGAAAAAAGTACTGTTTCCATCTTTGCAACTGGTATACTACATCCTTTGTGAATTTTGTAAAATATTCATTTTTTTTGTCTGTACCACATATATACCACGAAAGTACCAGTATTTTGAAAAAGGCCAGTTATTTCAAACATCTAACATTGATTTATCTCTAAATAATTTTGGCACCGGGCCAGCTGTAGATCGACTTTCACTGGGGTCACTCATGTCTGCATTCATTTTTTGCATCTCGAGAGATTTTTTTCAATTTCAATATAATCACTAGCACTCGAACTTGTCAAAATAGGCTGAGTTCCTTGCTACTTGTCTGCAGTAACTTTATTAGAAGCAGTAGGCTTGAACAAATAAAAAGTTGCCGTGGTTTTTTTTCTATTCAGGCCATGCCATTTTGACAGAAAGCAATCGTCTGCTGGGTTTTCCACAACTGTCGAAGTTCTGTTTGAAACACAAGTTCTACCCGGTACTTAACATTCGAGAAATTGCATTGAAATACGGAAAGACACAAACATGAGACATGAACAAAATAAGAATTGACGTAACTGCTCTGATGACAACACAGAGCCCACAAGTCCCTGCACAAAAACTTCAGGTGTGCCATAACCTATTTCATGTGTTCCATGGCAGCACCAGTAATTTCCCATTCAGCACCAGCATGCCGACCAAGTCATTTTGTCTAAGGAACAGTTCATAATTTTTGGCTAGGGGGGAGATGATGATTTTTATGGAGAAACAGCCATAAATTATGAACAGTCCCTTATGATGTCAAATTACGTTAACGATAAAAAATGTCACTCTTTTGGCTTTAGCGAGTGTCCTTAAACATACTAAAACCATGATCACAACTCGGGTTGGCAGATGTGTCAGTTGCACCTCTTTCTTATTCCTGTCCTAAATCTTATTAGGGCGATGGGGAAGCCTAGTGGTTAAAGCTTTCGCTCATCACGCCGAAGACGTGGGTTCGATTCCCCACATGGGTAAAATGTGTGATGGCCATTTCTGGTGTTCCCTGCCATGATATTACTCGAATATTGCTAACACCAACGTAAAACCAAACTCGCTCACACTGAATCTTATTAATGTCTAGCTCTGCCATGAATACTGTTTATGTCAGCAGATATGTCTCTATGTTATTTAAAACACTATATTGTGCTATACAAATGTTAGTATAACAATTATAACAAGCTAAACGATTTGTCACCACTGGTGCAAGTTCGTAACTCAACTGTATCAAACATGCAGGTGTAACATTGGGGTGAATAATGGATGTTAAACTGAAACCTCTTCTAATAACCTTGATACTTCCATGTCAATAAATCAATGAAAGCTGTTCATGTCCGTATAAATAACATCCGACCAAAATGGATATAACAAATAATTCATTCAGTGATAGGTTATTCATGGTACTCCAAGAACAGATAAGAGAATCAATCATGAGAACCCCATTCTATGAAGCAGTCATTGCTTGGGCTGTCAAGTTGTCCCAGACCAACACAAGCACTTGTAGTATTGTCGTAGAAACAAGGCTTCGTGGAATGTCATATTGTTGTTATTGATATTATAAGTATAAAAAAAGTCCCATTTGATGTCTGCGTGTTGAGGGCATAAGTAGTGCTGGTTATTGTTCACAATTTGTAGGGTACGTAAGTCCCAAAACATTCAAAGTCAATTTCAACTTTCCGTTTTTTAATCGTAGAATATTTGTAATTTTAATGTATGGCTAGATATGTCTTAATTGCTAACGGCTGAGGGGATGATATAAATCCAGCTAGGGCCCATGCAGGAAGCAAATGTACAGTAAGTCCCCATGGTCCCTAGTATGGTGATCTACCTTCAGTTGTTAGCGATCTATAGCCCATTTTTAGATTGTGTTGTCCCCTATGGTTAAAATGTTTTAGATTCAATTACTAGTTTTACATATATATATCTGTGATACTCTAGTTGCTTTACTGTCCTTCGATGACAGGTTTTATAATATATACATATTCCATTACAATGTAAAATGTTCTCGTCACAATATGGCTGAAATATTGCCGATGTGACGTTAAATATTAACTCACTCACTCACTCACAATTTGTAGATCGATAATCAGAGCTGAGTAATCGATCAATAATCTATTGTAATCGTAAACCCCACAACACTCATGACTGTGGGCAATAACATTACACAATCATAACATTACGCAAATGAAAGAGGCTCCGATTAATACTACGATCAACACGATTGATGATATGTCCTGTTGCATGAGAGTGAGAATGAATATACGCCGCTTTTAACAATATTCCAGCAATACCATGGAGGGGAACTTCAGAAATACTGAGATATACATAGTACCAAAATCCACGCCTGCTGCTATGCTTCATATTACCTTAGCCAATGGATCACTGTGCTCTAACATGTTATTCTCAGCTCCCTTGGGAGTAACCAGCCCAAGTCACCCATAAAGCAACACAAGGATAACAATCACTTTTCCATCTCAGGCTACCGGGTACCCATTTACTACTGAGTGAACTGAGCTCTATTACAAACTCTCTTGCCTAAACAAAACACAAATGACAGGTTTCAGTGAGGGGTTCTTGTACCTTGTCACCATCCACCCCTCTCCTCCAAAACTTCACCTGACTTGCTTCCCATGAGGTGTACCATGTACCAGATGACAATGTCACACCTGTGCACCAAAAGTTTATTCAAACAATGAAAGATTAATACTCTAATCAATTTGTGGCTAAGAGGAAATACCAGAATCAATACAAATTCCCAAAAGGTCCTGATAAATAAGATTTACAAAATGTGGCATTAATTTATATATCATGCTCATATATCGTCAAGTCACACAAGTTCGATCGACATGTAACTTCGATTGCCCATTTTGAATGGCAATTGTCGTGTGACGTAGCAATAACTACCGATATCTGCAGCTTTGATCTTCTGGTGACACCGCTTTCATTCGTTTGGACCGGAAAATGTTTCGTGTCAAGTTACCAAACGTAAGTTATAGCTCATATTCAGCAAACAACTACTTTTTAACCCTAGATCAATAATGTAACTTTATTAGCTCAAATAAAATGTAAACAGTATTTATTTCACACGTTGTAAATTGACAGCACACCTGTCTTCTGCTTGTTTACGTTGCTGGTCTAAATGTCAAATGACCAGACACGATATCCTTGTCAAAATTTAAAACTTTGGAAACAAATAAGGGCCATTTCTTATAGAAATCTTAATGCTTTTGAGAATTTCCATCAATTTGTACCTGATGAGGTTCGAGCTAGTGCCTCATTGATAAATACAACCTGGGCACAATGTACCCACCCTAAATGTCAGCACAGAACACATTTACGTTTCTGCAAGCCAGTCCGTGGTGTTTGTTGACATTCTGAGGTTTGGTGCCCCTGTCACGATGAGCCTGAAGAATAACTCCCCTGCATAATACTTGTATATAAGCTGAATAATTGTGACTTTTCATCATTTTTGGAAGTATTAAAACATAAAATGAACGTTTCATGGACATAATTACCATAAAATTACTTGGGACCGCTCTAACTCTGAATTTGACACAAGACATCGTTCATACAAGTCATCCTGTTTACGCGACAAGCAAGCCAATCATATGATCGAAGTTGTGTGAAGTAGCTTTCTGGGTCACTTGTGTTTACAGTGAGAAGGCGGTCATGCCGCGATTGAAAAGCAGTAAAAATACCTGGATTTCGGAAATGTTTGACATAAATAAACAAGTTTAGAGGTAAGAGATTTGAAAATAAGATTATATGAATATTACTTTGAAAATTCAGAGACAGTTCTTAAGTGATCGAACTTCCACGACACGTGGGTACAAAAGCTATAAAGCAGTCCTTGATTAGCGTAATGTTTATCAATAAATTACAACAATCATACATAGAACTATGATTGCTTTTGGAAATTTTCCACCTAAATACAAAATATAGTGAAGAGCTTGTTTAAACAACACTTTACACTCAAGGCCCATGATCCTACGTCCCTGACATCTATGTACGTCTTGATGGACATGCTGTTTGTTTGTTTGCTTGCTTGTTTATTATTTAATGCCTCATTCAGCAATATTCCAGCTATATGGCGGTAGTCAGTAAATAATTGAGTCTGGACCAGTGATCAACATTATGAACATCGATCTACGCAATAGGTGAGGTGAGGTGAAATTGGTTTTAACGTCTTGCTTGAGAATATTTCGCTCAAATGACGGCGTACATGCGTGTGTATGTGTATGTGAGGCAGCTTGTACTAGCCTAGACTTAAGCTGCTTTTATAGTACTAGCCCACTGAGATACCATGCCGCAGTGAAGCATGAATACCCCACTCAGACACATTATACTGACTCCGAGCCGACCAGTCCTTGTTGTACCCATTAATGCCGAGCCAGGCAGGGACCAACAAGTACCATATTTTAACGTCCTTTGGTATGACGCGGTCAGGGATCGAGCCCACGACCTTCTGCTCTCCGGGCAGATGCTCTAACCACTACACCATGGAGGCGGTCCTTTACGCAATTGGGATAAGATGACATGACATGTGTTACAGTGATACTGACACATAAATTTTGAAGTTGCAGTACATTACTGGGATATAATTGTTCTACACATGACCCAAATGGAAAACTACTGGATCAGAGCTTTTTAGTATTGCTCTGATTTACTTTAAGGGACCGTTCATAATTTATGGCTAAGGGGGGTGATAATGATTTTTATAGAGAAGCATGTACAATGTGAATGCCCCCCCCCCTAAAATTTATGTACAAAATAAGTAAGTGACCCCCCCTCATGTCTAAGCATAATTTTAAACATTTGTTTATGTACAAATCAATGACACCCCCTTCCCATAAAATTGACTAAGCATAATTTTAAACATTTGTTTATGTACAAATACATGTTTTTCAGGATTCTGATGCCCTGGTTCTTACCTCCTTGTACATGAAGAAAAGCATGTATTGCATGCAGATTGTACAAAATTGATGAACCTTTTCATCCTGCCATGAAAAATGTTGACATTACATCTGACATTGCATCAGATCTTAAACAGTTTCCTTTCTCTCTATTTTCAATAAGAAATGACATTATTATACACTGAAGTGTGAAAGACAGAGATTTCCAAGTTTGAGAAAAGTCACATTTTCACTGCTGTGACAGAAATTTGATATATTCACTGTAGTGAAAGTTTTACTTTGCAGGAACTATATTATGGCTCAACAAACAGTTGATTTTTTTTTCTCTCAATAGTGCTCTTTCGTTTCGCCGCCATATTGTTTTGGTTATTCTTATGTATTCATGCAGCAGCGCCGAGTTTTGACGATGACACAAGGCCAAAAGGATTGTCTGATGGATTTTATTATAAGTGCTGATCTTATTCAACAATGATAATAAATAATAAATAGTAATATTATCAACAATGATAATAAGTAATAAATAGCAATTGGATTGTCTAAATGCTTATTTTGTTTTTGAATACCGAAATATTGTCTTATTTGTGTGCCTGAACAATGAAGTGAACAGTCTTTAGTTTACAGTTGGAATGATTTAAATTTCGATAATCCTTTCTCTGTTAAATAATGTTATATTCAATTAAACAAAACTGGAAGCATATAATATATAGTATATCTGAACGAGTGATAGCCTGAACAATGAAGTGAACAGTCTTTAGTTTACAGTTGGAATGATTTAAATTTCGATAATCCTTTCTCTGTTAAATAATGTTATATTCAATTAAACAAAACTGGAAGCATATAATACATAGTATATCTGAACGAGTGATAGCCTGAACAATGAAGTGAACAGTCTTTAGTTTACAGTTGGAATGATTTAAATTTCGATAATCCTTTCTCTGTTAAATAATGTTATATTCAATTAAACAAAACTGGAAGCATATAATATATAGTATATCTGAACGAGTGATAGCAATATTCCAGCAATATCACGGCTGGGGGGATACCAGAAATGGGCTTCACACATTCTACCCATGTGGGGAATCGAACCTGGGTATTTGGTGTGACAAGCGAACGCTTTAACTACTAGGTTACCCATCCCACCAGTAAAGAACGAAGGGAAAGACGTGACTGAGTGAGTGAGATAGGTTTTACGCCGCTTTTTAGCAATATTCCAGCAATATCATGGCGGGGGACACCAGAAATGGGCTTCACACATTGTACCCATGTGGGGAATCGAACCCGGGTCTTCAGCGTGACGAGACGTGACTGAAGTGGAGAAGGTACTCACCCGTCCTTGCAGGTGTCTTGCTGCCTTGTGGAACTCAGAGCGAATGGCCATGGACCGAGAACACCATGGAGCATAGTACATGAGGAATATAAGCTCCTCCTGGGCAAGAAGACGGACAACCGGATCGAGTTCTCCATTAAAAAAATCATACACTGGCGAGTTGTTTGGAAAAAATTTCTTTGGTGGTTTTGGTGGTACAGTAATCGGCTTTGGCTTCAAACTGAAAAAAAATGAACTGCTCACATCAGATCCCAGTCTATCTGGGTCTGCATAATGCGTACATGGAATCTGATAATATCATATATCAATTACGCATTGAATAGTCAAACAAAAAGGACGGATGACCACACCATTCAGATTTTAAATCATCTGCAAGTTCATCTGCAAGACTGAAAACGAAAACAATGTCATTTTGATTGTGTTTTTTTGTGAATATTTTTGCTAATCGTGAGATTGTTTGGAGGACAAACAACATCGCCTTTCGCAGTAATTGGACAACCATGTCTCAGCGGTAGCTTTACCAATAACCTGGCAAAGGCTCACATATAACAGACTGTGATAAAATCACCTGTTCAGGCCTGAACATCTACCAGTGCAAGTTTGTATCCAACATATATAAATAACCTAAAAAAAATATCAAAGTCTTCTGTTGAAGCATTCAAAGTCTAAGAATTTTTAAACTGTTTTCATGTTTGTAATGCCTAAAAACAAACAGCTTTAAAATCTTATATGTTATCTGACCTAAATGTAAGGTCAAAGTATGCTAACAGTCATATTAAGTTCAATAAATATAATGTTTACACTCTCTAAATGGCTGAAAACACCCCTAATGAATTCTAATCTCAGATCTTGTGTAACTGGAAATCGCAAACCTGTGGCATTATGTGAATAATGTTGAACAGCTGTCAAGGGTTTATACTTCATGCTACACGTGTAAAATCACTCGACATTTTAGAACTGAACTCAGTTCGAATAAACTTTCAAAACATTAAACACGTGAGTTTATCATGCGTGACAGGCATAGTGGAAATTGATCGTGTGTAAAATCTACCTGCTCCCATATCGTGAAATGATGGTTAGAGACAATCCAATTACAATCAGAAACAACTCCGGGTGTTTAGCCATCACTCTTCGAACTACATTTGTCGGGGCAGTAAGATCCGAATGAACTGCCACAACACTCGCCATTGGTTTCACTCCACGTCACATTAATTGAAACTGCTTACCTAAAAACTAACTAAATAAGGTAAGAATATATGTTACCAAATTACCATATTTGTGTCTTTAACAATGTGTTTTATCAGACAATTTATAAATCTTTGCATTTTTTTTATAAATGTTACAATCCATTGTCGTATGTATCTAGAAATATGAATGTGACAAAACATGTAGTCGATATTGGTGTAAGTTGTGTGGAAAGTAATATGAATTTACGGGATGCGTCGTAAAATCACATTTTCTAAAAAGATCTTGTCAGTAGCAGCCGACGCAAGTATTTTCGCCAAATTCGACAAAAGTCTCGTTCCGTACATTTACCAGAAGGTATCCAATTATATGCATATATAAAATTCCGTTGAACCAGAATTAAGTGCTCAATGACAAAATTGTGTAGACCATCACTGAACGGGCACCTACAGGATAGTTTATCATTTAAAAGGATGAAAGGGGGGCGTGGTCGGCCACACCTATGTCACATTGTCTTACTTATCGATATTTTGTTAATCATGCAGCAACCTCGCGTATGTTTAATATTGAGAAGGACCTCGTTTTTTCAAAGAGTAGCTTTTATTGTATAATCGAAAGATCACAATCTACGTTTTGGGGGAGTCTACTAGTCTGAAAACATGAATTTACATGGTTCGATCGCCATGCTACGTATCATCCCGAGTACTCATTGAACAAGGTTTTAAAATGGTACTTGTTGTTTCCTTACCTGGTGCTCGACATACAAGGAGTAGCTCAGTCTCTAGAATGTGTCCGAGAGGGGTATGAATTTGTAAATCAATTAATGTTGAGTGTGTCTCAGCATTGGGCGATGCAACTAATATTCGTATGGTAAAAACTATTAATTACATGTACATGCATGGCCCCCTGGCTTTAATAAAATAGCGCTATGTAGCCGGCTGGTCAGGCCTAGTAAAGCAAAGACCGTGAAATAGTCCCAAACACCATTTCGACTGACCTCAACTAGATGCATGGACCCCAAGACTAACATGTAAATCATACTAGGAAGTGTAGTCTGACTCGCAAGGAAAATCGATTAATTGTAGTTCCGACTGTTAGCTGGCCTAGTAATTGGAATTACTTAGAATAAAACTTCGGCTGTCATGAGTGAAGAAAACAAACACCGATTTGATAATTTTCTCAACGCACGGCCACGTTGCATTGGCTCTCTATCACACTGACTGACTGAGTTTTGGTTTTACGCCGCTTTTAGCAATATTCCAGCAACATCACGGCGGGGGACACCAGAAATGGGCTTCACACATTGTGCCCATGTGGGGATTCGAACCCGGGTCTTCGGCGTGACGAGCCAACGCTTTAACCATTAGGCTACCCCACCGCCCCCTCTCCATCACAGACCATACAGAACTTTATCTCAGATTTAATGTAACCGTGATAAATACCTGGAAGGTCCGACTGGCATCAGAGTATCCCCATAAGATGATTTTACTGAAATATGCGTGGGCTGAGACAGATAACACCTGGGCAGGAAGAAATGTTGACTGATTGTAGTGTCATCATTTACTGGATGAAGGGATCAAGAGTCTTGTGCGGGCCAAGCCAGCAGGGTCAGTAGTAGAAGAGAACCGAGCTGTATTAAGTTAATACCTGGGGCCATGGGGGATTGAAAGATCAATGAGGATGTTCCTAATCATCCGTATTCCACAACTGTGTAGGTTGGCACATCGCGACCGTGAAGATCTGGATTAGAATTGATCTTCAGTAACCCTTGCTTGTCGTAAGAGGAGACTAACGGGATCGGTGGTCAGGCTCGCTGACTCGGTTGACACATGTCCTCGTATCGTAACTGCTTAGATCTCGAAGCTCATGCTGTTGATCACTGGATTGTCTAGTCCAGACTTGATTATTTACAGATCGCCGCCGTATAGCTGGAATATTGCGTAAAACGAAATTCACTCACTGACACATCGCACATCTGCCAGACGAGACGTGATGACTTATTGATTGGCCACAAGAGGGTGAGAAAGTGAAAAGACAACCTCAGTCCTGGAGATCATCATAGTGCCCATGACAGGAAGTAAGCAATAAGTACCAACAACACAGAGTTTAAATGTCTTCGTCGAGTTACACACGCAGTGGTAGGTACAACTGAATGATATACACTTGTACGTTTATAATAATGACGGTTAAAGAGTACTAATAAGTTTCTTTTCAAATGAATAGAAAAAGTCTAAATGTTTATGGTTAGAGACAAGTAAAAAGATTGATAACCTCTGGAAATCAGCATATAGAAAGTGAAGCGCTAAGAATTTGATTTCCACCTCAGGCTTTCAACTGGGTGTGAAGAGACATCTTGATGCTCATTGGAAACCCATGACAGATGTCCATGAAGCGGAGGGATAACCTGATGACAACTGGATATCCATGACATGAGACGTCGGGTTGCCCATGGCAGGAAGCGAAGGGACAACTGGATGTCCATGAGATGAGGCGGAGGGATAACTTGATGACAACTGGATATCAGGACATGAGGCGTCGGGTTGCCCATGGCAGGAAGCGAAAAGGACAACTGGATGTCCATGAAAACTGGATGTCAGGACATGAGGTGTCGGGATAACCATGACAGGAAGCGAAGGGACAACTGGATGTCCATGAGATGAGGCGGAGGGATAACTTGATGACAACTGGATATCAGGACATGAGGCGTCGGGATGCCCATGACAGGAAGCGAAGGAACACCTTAATGAAAACTGGATGTCGGGACATGAGGTGTCGGGTTGCCCATGACAGGAAGCGAAGGGACAACTGGATGCCCAACTTGATGAATAACAGGATGCCCATGACAGGAAGCAAAGGAACAACTTGATGAAAACTGGATGTCAGGACATGAGGTGTCGGGATGCCCATGACACAACTGGAAGCCCATGACAGGAAGCGAAGGGACAACTTGATGACAACTGGATGTCAGGACATGAGGCGTCAGGATGCCCATGGCAGGAAGCAAAGGAACACCTTGATGAAAACTGGATGTCAGGACATGAGGTGTCGGATGCCCATGACAGGAAGCGAAGGGAAGGAAGCCCATGACAGGAAGCGAAGGAACAACTCGGGATGATGACAAAGGAACTGGATGTCAGGACATCAGGATGCCCATGACAGGAAGCGAGGACAACTGGATGTCAGGATGCCCATGGCAGGAAGCGAAGGGACAACTTGATGACAACTGGATGTCTGGACATGAGGTGTCGGGATGCCCATGGCAGGAAGCAAAGGAACAACTGGATGACAACTGGATAACAGGACATGAGGCGTCGGGTTGCCCATGGCAGGAAGCGAAGGGACAACTTGATGCCAACTGGAAGTCTGGACATGAGGTGTCGGGATGCCCATGGCAGGAAGCAAAGGAACAACTGAATGACAACTGGATAACAGGACATGAGGCGTCGGGATGCCCATGGCAGGAAGCAAAGGAACAACTGGATGACAACTGGATATCAGCACATGAGGCGTCGGGTTGCCCATGAAGTTACGTGAAGAGGCAACTGGATTATCAGATTAGTCCCATGAGAGGGGTGAAAGGGATAATCACCTGATAGCTGTTGGATGGCCTTGAACAACTTCATGGGTACTAAACAGAACGGAAAAGAGACCAAATTTGACAGCCACCAGAGGCCAGTTCAATGAAGAGAAGGCCAACGTGATTGAAACCAGATTGCACCTGCTGGTAGGTGAATAGATAACCTGATAACCTGAGTTTTCTGTCATGAGGTGAGATGAAAAAGAGAGGTTCATTCAAAGGCTGTTTCAAGGAAACTCTGAGAACAGCCTATAGTCAGTGAGATGAAACAAAACGTTGCAAATGAATGCAGAGATAACATCTTGATTGCCATTGGATTCCCAGAGCTCTTTAAGCAAAAAGATTAAAAGTTAATAATGGGTATTTGGAGATATTAGTATATTATGTTTCTTCATCTTGACTGTCACTGGAGCGTCCCTGACAGGAAGTGACAAGATCTCAGAATGATCGTGAAGGCAGGCTTCTGACGGGAAGCGAACAGACTGGAAATTGATGACCACTGGAGGGCCTACCTGGAAGTGAAAATAATGGTGAGTGAGCGAGTTGGGTTTTACGCTGCTTTTAGCAATGCCCCAGCCATATCACTGCGGGGGACACCAGAAATGGGTTTCATACATTGTACTCATGTGGGAAATCGAACCCGGGTCTTCGGCGTGACGAGAGAACGCTTTAACCACTAGGCTACCCCACCGCCGCAAAAAGACGTGAAGGTGGTGACTAGAAGGCCTTGACAGGAAGTAGGAAACGTTACACTGATGGTGACTGTGGGCACTGCCAAGATGTTGAAAACTATGGGTTGATGGTGACTTGGAGGGCTTGACAGAAAGAATGAAACTTTGCATTGATGGTGAATGGAGACCCCCGTCAGTAAGTGAAGAGACTTTAGAATTATGACGAATCGAAGCCCCTAACATTTCACGACTCTCAAGTTGAAAACAACTATTTACATTTTCCATTTATTGCCTGGTATGTTTTTCTATCTGCGTATAACATCTGGTTCGCAATGCAGAGTTCATAACACATCATCTGGTTTCATAAATGAAGCTTGACCTCTGAAAAGTGAAAAGTGCCCTCAAATTGAGGAGTATGGTTTTACCAGAATGGGCTTCCCAAGTGACGTGACGTTTTAACGATGCTTTCAATAACCGCCAATGACATGCCATCTTGACACTTGATGCTTGCAATAGTGAGTGAGTATGGTTTTACGCCGCTTTCGTAGCAATATTCCAGCAATATCATCAATATAAATGGCTATAGTGGACACCAGAAATGGGCTTTACACCTTCAATGTGCCCATGTGGGCCACTTTATTCGGAATAAAATTTCACTGTAAAAAAATACATTTCAGCCTGCAAAAATTATGGTGAGAAATCCTCGGCGCAGAAATGACGAACTAACTTCTTTTCATTCCACCTAGGCTACTCACTCAATCACT